TGGGCAATCCTACTTTCGTAGTGATACTGCCTCGGAAACCCAAGGAGGGGTCGCTATGAGTCGGGGCTGACTCGACGGCACATAACAACAACAACAAGGAATTGATGGGATATCCATTGAGACGTTTCAACTAACAGATGCAGTCCTGGTGGTGTTCACTTGTTTATGCCAAGAAATTTGGAAGAGTGCTACTTGGCCAACCAAAGGGAAGAGATCCATATTTGTGCTACCAAAGAAAAGTGATCCAACAGAATGTAGAAATTATCAAACAATATCATTAATATCACACACAAGTAAAATTTTGTCAAAAATAATTCAAAAGTAGTTGCAGCTGTATATTAGTCAATAACTGCCATAAATTCAAGCTGGATTCAGAGGAGGGTGTGGAATGAAAGATATCATTGCTGATGTCAGATGGATCTTGGCTAAAAGCAAAGAAACCAGAAAGATGTTTATCTGTGTTTTATTGACTAGGCAAAGGCATTCAACTGTGTGGATCATAATAAATTAAGGATAACATTGCAAAGAATAGGATTTCAGAACACAACTGTGCTCATAAGGAACCTATACATAGACCAAGATGCATGTATGAGGGGATATTGCATAATTTGAAATGAGAATAGGTGTGCATCAGGGTTGTATCCTTTCACCATACTTACTGAATCTGTATGCTCAGCTAATAATCCAAGAAGCTGGACTATATGAAGAAGAATGTGGCTTCAGGATTGGAGGAATACTAATTAACAACCTCTGATATTCAGATGACACAAACTTGCTTGCTGAAAGTGAAGAAGATTTGAAGCACTTACTAATGAAGATCAAAGATTAGTCTTCAGTATGGTTTATACCTCAACATAAAGTAAACAAAAATCCTCCTATCTGGACCAATAAGCAACATAATGATAAATGGAGAAAAGACTGAAGTTGGCAAAAACCATAAAAACCAAACTCACTGTCCTTGAGTCGGTTCCAATTCATAGCAAGCCCTCCTTGGGTTTCCAAGGCGGTATCTCTACTGAAGTGAATTGTCCAGTCTTCCTTCCAAGGAGTGACTGGTGAGTTTGAACCACCAGCCTTCTGGTTAGTAGTCAAATGCCTTTGGCACTAAGCCATCAGAGCTCCTGAAATTGTTAAGGATTTCATTTTACTTGGTTCCATAATTAACACCCATGGAAGCAGCAGGCAAGAAGTCAAAGGACATACTACACTGGGCAGATTTGCTGCAAAAGACCTCCTTAAAGTGCTAAATAATAAAGACTAAGACTAAGACACTTGCCTGCTAACCAGAGGGCTGGCGGTTCAAACCCACCAGCCACTCCTCGGAAGGAAGGTTGGGCAATCCTACTTCTGTAGTGATACTGCCTCGGAAACCCAAGGAGGGGTCGCTATGAGTCGGGGCCGACTCGATGGCACATAACAACAACAACAAGACGTGTCTGAGCCATGCCATGGTATTTTCAATAGCCTCAATAACTGGACAATGAATAAAGAAGACTCCAGAAAAATTGATGCATGTGAATTGTGCTGCTAGTGAAAAATATCAAAAAATACCATGGACTGTCAGAACAACAAACAAATGTGTCTTGGAAGAAGTACAGCCAGAATGCTTTTTAGAAGAGAGAATGGTCAGATTTCATCTCTTGTATTTTGGTCATGTTATCAAAAGGGGTCAATTCCCAGAGAAGGGT